GTAGCAACTCTAGCAAGAATTTTGTCGCTAAACTTAATATTTATCCTTTTTCTAGTGACTATACTATTAGAATTATGCCACTAAATCACTCTTTTGAGAGAATGCAAGCTCATTCCTGTAGTATTGCTTTTCAGTTTTTTTCAAGTTTAGTTTAAAGCATAACATTATATATCTTGGTTCCTTTAACACATCTGAATAAGTCTGAAAGTGATATTAATCATTCGTGTTTAGGTTCCCATATTTTTTATTTCTTCTGTAGCTAAAGAGTTGTTGGCCTTTTCCAATGTTATACCAGAATGGCTGTGCAAGCAAAAACAAGACAGGGTATGCTATAAACATATGTGCTTATCTGCTTATTATGTCTTAACACCCCGTTATAAGGGATTATTATTTGAATCTAAATTTCCATTGAATGGATATTTCAGTTATACGCCGGCCAATCTCTATTTTCTTATGTTGAGCTTCTGAATAGCAAAAGGCTGCAAGTGTTTCCTGAAATTCATTCTCCTGAGTTACTGTAAGATGAATCCTCCCTGTCGAGTGGACGGTTTTTTTAAGAGTATACGTTAGTTTGAGTATGTTTTATTGGAGTATGTTAGGATTTGTTTTTCTTTTGTTTCAGTAGTTTTGGCAGTACACTGTTACGATTTCTGAAAGGTTGTTCATCTCAGCCTTATAACCAAGTTTTGTGCATAGAACTATTTGGCAGGAGTCTTGTGTAATATTTTGTCCACATTGGAGTCTGCGATTAGGACCTGTTGTTCATTTGCTTCGCCGCTGGTGTGCAAATCCGGACTCTTTACTTATTATGGAGGTGTGTTCTTGTCTGCAAGCTACTCCCTCTGTCCAATCTTTTTTCTCTGTTTCCTTTTGGGTTGTTCGTGCTTTTGTTTCTCCTTTGTTAGTTTACTTTGTCTTTGCTTGAGCCAGTGGTTTCTTGGAAACAGCCTCTCTACTTCCAAGTAGGGGTAAGGTCTGCATACACACACTCCCTACTTTTGTAGGATTTTACTAGGTCTGTTGTTGTTGTCCTCTTTGGGTTGTCTTTAACATTTCCTCATGTACCCTTTTAATGAAAGATTTGTGTGGCTGGTGCTGTTTTTATTATGTCTAAATACTGAATAAGTTACAATTACACAAATACACAGTTTCATTTTCTTAAGAAGTGTGTCAAATCAAACTGAAAATAATTTTTTTGGATTGATCGAGTATTTCAATTTATAGAACGAATCCTCGCCCGCTAGCACGAAAGCTTAGCTATGGCTATGCTCTTCCTTTTCTTGAGACTTCACTGCTGAATATTGCATACAAACTCCTTTTTCAGGAAGGAATTGATCTTGAATTGGGTGTTTTGCCTTTCAAGCCAATGGAAGTGAAAGTTCTGAAGTGCTCATTTATTTCTGGAATAAAGTAAGGTATCTCTCTCTTTTGAGAATTTAAGCAAGTTTTTTTAAAAGATTAATACCAAATAGTCCTCGGTTTACACTGTTAGTCTCTTACTCAATTTGGTATTAAACCCCTCCATATGGTACCTTCTAACGGTTACGCGTACCTTTATAGTGTCAAGAAAGCTCCATATCTGCTGGAAGCACTGCAACCAATGCATGTTGTGGTAATCCGATCCCCTGATTCGTACATGTTGTACTGCAATAAACTGACCGAGTCTCCACTCCTTGATTCTTCTAACCACTTCTCTTATTGTTCAATCCAGCTTCCTGAAGACCTGAGGCCACACTTTAGCCATTTGAACCACACTTATTCCTTGAGCTATTTTTCAGAAAATGAGACTCTGGTCATACCCAAGTTGAAGAAGCAGGGTTCAGAACTATCCATTGCTGTAGATCTGGCTTCCCAACTCCTATGTTGTGCAAAGTCGCCGCTAGTAAAGGATGGCAAGGAATTTGTGAGGCTAAAGGGAGAGTTATCCATGAAGAGAGGGAAGTATCAATTGGTCATAGGAAATGATCGAGCACCATCTTCTTCGCAAAGCAGACCGGTTGTCTGTTGGGGTAGAATTGACCCAGAGGCACTTGTTGCTGCATTAGGGAACACGGGAATCAAAGCAACCGTTGAGCAAAGTCAACCTTCTTCTTCTTCTTCTTCTACCACTACTAAATCCATGATACACATCTCAGAGCCTAGTGAAGCTTCAATTGAAGTTTCAACAGAAAAAACTCTCATCAGTGCTGCAGATGAGGATTTTGCCTCGCGGATATCCGAGTCTATATGTACCCTTTTAAAATGCATTTGAATGGGGAGTTTGTTTCCAAAGTTCATAACTCGAGGTAGTATTTACATAACGATTGGAGAAGAACCCTGTGATAAAGACATGCTTTTCTCAACCAGGCTTTACTTGCCATCATGAGTTCATTGATCTATCTTGTAAATTATCTATTCTGTGTCCCTCTGGAGCTTGATGAGGTGCCACATAGGTGCCCCATAACCTAGTGGGTGTGAACAGAAAAATGTTCCGTATATGTTATGACTTATGAGCTTGAAAGTGGGGTGTAACCAAAAAGTGATGGAGTGAATGTACTAATTGTTTTGATTTGTTGATGTGCTCCATCTTAATTTCTTTTTTGGTTTTTGTTCAAAAACGGAAGTCAGCGAATTCATGTAGTAGAAACCACCCTAAATAAGACTAAAACATATAAAAAGTATCAATATAGAACTTTTATGTTCTTATTCTCGAAATAGGAGTTCAACATGTGGTAACGTGGAGGTAATGTGGCACTGTACATGTGCACATTAGTATTCTTCTTGGTAATGTATATGATCACGTTTGGTAACGTAAATGCATTTTAACTCCTATTTCGGAAATAAAAACATGGAGGTCTTATTTTGGTATATTTTTAATGTTTTATTTCTACTTTAGTCTTTTCCAAATAAATTAAAGAACTTGGTCAGCATATGAAAATTGTGTTTTGGTTCAACTTCTACTTTTAATCGTATTAATGATTTTATCAGAACTTAATATACTTTATTGTTATATAAAATAGGTGTTTTATTATTATTACTATTTTTTCCCTTTATAATACTCTAAAGAATTGTTACTTATAATAAAAAACATACTTGGTACTATTAAGTTCACCTATTTTACACACACGTTTAATCCGTAAATGATTGATGAAGCAGGTGATAAAAATTATACTCCAACTGTCCGCCATTGATTTTCTCAAATGTACTTTTTATTTACTCGGGAAAGATCTTCCCATCACCTTTTTTTTGTTAGAACTCATGTGGAAATCATTAATATGTGCATTGATATTTTAACATGATTTCCAACATAAACAAAAATTTAATAAAATACTTTATTTATAGCATAAAAGTTCCATAAATTTATAAATACTTTAATTTTACAAAACTATAAAATTTAAATCATATTTTTAAATGTAATAGAATAAAGTTGGCATTTCAAAATTGTTTTTTGTGATGAAATTTATATAAGATAATCTTTTTTATAAGACCTAAGATCATAATTATTTAACTTAGAAATTGAAAGATTTTATTAATATATCATAAAATAATGATTATTAAATATAAAATTTAATAATATGGGACATGCAAATTCTTATTAGAAAGCATGACGTAACCTAGAGGTATTATTTGATTGGTCTAAGTTACAGTGCTTTCAATCCTAATCAAATGAACTAAATTCACCCTTGGAGTACATTATCACAAATTTTAAGTAGTCATGAGGTATAATTTAGATAAAAGCATGTGCAATGGCGAGGCAAAATAAAATGCTACACGATGACGTGATAGTTTTCAACCAAAAAAACATAGTCTAGTCAGCAAGCAGTACATGAGTGGAGTGGTAACCTATGTAGTGGCAAAACATTGTTTTTATCATTTTTTATTTGTTTAATTATTAAAAATAATTTTTGCTATTTAATTTATCAAAAATTCTAGTTTCTTACAAAAAAAAGTCTTATTTTCTATATAAAAAATTAAAAATAAATAAATAAAAGAGGTGTGGACTGTGGAGTGCCATGCTCAAAACACTCCATGCATAATGAATTGAAGATGGCACGTGAGGCAAAAAGAAAAGAGAGGGAGTTGAGCTGAGGTGGCGTTGCTTGACAACCAAATCTCTTGCCATTGCCACTGCTTTTAAGAAGACAAAAATTCCTTGTACAAAAAATAAATTAAAAAAATAAAAAATTCAAATGGGAAATGTTGTCTCGCGCTTGGGTAGTGAAAACCTTTGCCAAGCCACGTTTTTGGAGAAGTGAGGTTGAGTTGGCTGAGCGAGACACTTTTATCCTTGCTGCGGCTGATGTTCTAATTTGGAATCTTAAAATTCTTGCCAAAAAAATTTCGAGTGCTCTGAAATATTTTTTGAGATCGCTCTATCTACTTCTAGCATAGATTCTCACAAAACCTTTTCTGTCAGCTCTTTTTATTACTTGTACTCAAAATTCTCTCATTACCAATGATCACCTTACAGAGATAACAGGACACACACACACACACACACATATACACACACACACACACATATATATGTATGTATGTATATATGTGTGTGTATATATATATATATGTGTGTGTGTGTGTGTATGAGTTTTGCTCAATCAGTTGTGTATGAAAAGATTACCTATTATTGTTATTGTGAGTACTGTTGGAGGCAAGGTCATTCTCTGGATAGATGCAAATTCAAAGCTCCAGAATTCCCAACCAGAAGCCCAAAAATATAAAGCCCATCCTACCCAACCCAATCCAAAACCTATACCCACCCACGGTCCGAACCCCAATCTCAAATTCCCCAAGCCTGCTGTTTCCTTTCCCAAGCCCAATAACACCAAATGTCAGTGTAAATTTTACTGATTCAACTAACATTTCGTGCTAGTGTGATTAATTAAAATGCTAGAGCATCTCTTTGAAATATAATTTGGGGTACACTTTTTAGGATATCCCTAGCATGACTGGAAAAAAATTGTTTGTATTCAAACACATACACAAACACAAAAGGCAAAAAGCTTTACACAAGACAATGGAGAGTGTTATGCTAGAGTGATAATTTACAAAACAACAATTTGGAGTTGTTGTGTCAGTATGAGTTGTTAAAAATATTGGTGCATCACTTTGGGATACAATTTGGAGTACACTTTTTAGAGTATCCCAAGCATGATTGAAAAAAAAATTGTTTGTATTCAAACACATACACAAACAGAAAAGGAAAAAAGCTTTACACAAGACAATGGAGCCCTCTCAGTGCTTGCATCAATTCCTCTCACTGGTTACATCAATCATCCCTCATTTGTGACGAACAGATACTACAAGAATTCTCCCTCCATCTCACCCAACGTATAATGAGGACCCTAAATACAACATATAATTGATACCCGTAGTGACGAACACTATAGAGGACGAATCCCAAAACTCTCACAGGCCAGCTGAGACTAGCCCATGTAAGGTGACAATGCCAATCAATACATTCTCATCATTCACAACGGGCAAAAATTGAACAGGGGATGGTGCGGATTCCATTTTCTGCATTGCTTCAACTGCCATTGCATCGGGGCCAATTGTTCTTGGTTTTCTGCAAAAGTTGAATTACAGATTGACTTTTATGTCTGCGGCTCTACAGGAAGTCATATATTTAAAAAAACTGATCTGCTATAAGAAACGCAATGCTATAATGTGTAAACCTAACAATCAAAAATGCACTTGAAAGGGCATACTGAATTACTGAGACGTAAATCAGAAACCATTAAGCACCATCTTGCGAGAGATCAAAGATTGGCTTTATGCAAAGTCATATTTTAACAAAGTGAACTGTTATGCGTCTATAGGGGCAGTATAATTATGTGAAAGCCTAACAGTCCAAAACACACATGAAGGGGCCGACTGATTAGGAAAACCAGAAGCCATTAATATCCATCTTGCGAGTGATCAATTCCAGTGCAATAACTAATGCTCTTTGACATGAAAATTCGAAAAACACGATGCTTTCTACGCTTGGGTTAACATAATAAGTTAACAACAAACAACAACATCAACATCAACATCAACAAAGCCTTATCCCACTAGGTGGGGTCGGCTACATGGATCAAACGACGCCATTGCGCCATATCGTGTATCATATCTGCTATGAGAGGATTAACGGAAAAAGTCAGCACATCAAAATCAAGTTCTTGCAAGAGTAGTCTCGTGGACAGTCCCAATATTATCTTAATGCTATATTTGGTTCAAGGAATTCGGAAGGGAATGGAAAGGAAAAGGGTTTCTCTCATTTTCCTCACCAAATTAAAACGAAATTTCTTTCTCCCCTTTTAAGTCTCTTTTTCCTCGCAAACTTAAAACGAAATTTCTTTCTCCCCTTTCGCCAAGTTAAAACGAAATATTTTCCACATCTTTTTCTTTTCCATGTCAAATTCCAAGAACCAAACATAAGATTATGGTCATCAGAGAATAACATAAAATTGATCAGCTAAGAATAAGTTAAAACAGTTCTTTCAAATTGGCTTCCCAATGCATCTGCGAAAGGGCAGAAGCCACATTTTTACTGAAATTGAGTATGTTTCAACAAAGCTAACATTCTTCTGTGGAGTTTGAAATGATTCACATGGCCACATGGGGTTGGACTTCAAGATAACATTTATTTCAGAAAGCTTATACAATAAAATTTTCTAATTATTCATTTTCCTTCTTTATGTTAGGATTATCCTAAGCGAGGAAAGTGACAAATAAATAAAATGGTGACCTATACACCATTAAAGTCACAGACAAAATGAATACAATCTTTAGGGTGGAATAGTTAGATTTCTCCCATTACATGTCCCTCCAATCAAATTTTATGTGAGTGTTTTGGAAGTGGCTGATCTCAATGTAGATGCAGTTTGCTTCACTTTGCAGATCACATATGGATGTATGCCACATATCATGGAATAAATGGGGCAAATTGCATATCCACTTACGAAGAGTGTTATCTTTTTTTTAATCAACCTTTCACCTTCCCTTCGGACGGCAGGTAGAAGCATTATCTTTTAAACTTTTATTGGTGCCCACTTCTTTAAGAAATTGGAAGCAACATGTAAAATAAGTATTGCGAATAAGGTAATTTCTATACAGGAGCTTTATAAAAAGGCCCCTTCAGTGAGGATAACATTTATATCAAATGATTATGTTAAATTTAAAAAGGACGACAAATAGGACAAAACTATATACTCCATATTATGTATTTAAAATAGTATTCCGAATTATATATATATGTATGTGTGTGTGTATACATACATACATCTATATATGTATGTATACACACACACACACATAATCACATATATATATATATATATATATAAGTAAATTTAAGACTATTGCAACAGCCAAATAAGTTAATATTTGACGGAGAATCTGGTTGCCCAAGCTAATAGCATTAAAAATTAACTTTGGGACAACATTTTTTAACAAGGAAATAAGTTAAAGAAGGCAGAGAATCTGATTGCCCAAGCTAATAAGCCTAATATCAAGGCTACCAGACAAGAACATAATTTCACCAACTCGTAGAAGATGTTGCGGCTAGTATCTAGCCATAAACAGGAGCAAACTAGAGCCAATCACACAAGAGTTAAAAGTCATGTTGCGGTTTTTAAAATAACTACATGCACAAACACAAGTGGCTTTAATGAAAATGAACTGCTTTCCATTATTCCCTACAAAGCGGAAAAAAGGAAAATGTGTGTTAAATACTCAAATAACTTCTGATTGTGAAACAAGCTGATATGTGCTCATCAACACCAAGGTGCATGGGAGGCACGAAGAGAAGAGGAGGCATGACATGATGATGTGTCGTTTATTTACTTTGCATTAGTTTCCTCACATGTTTTTATTATTATTATTATATAAGTCGGCACATACAGTTAAGTGGGCAAGTTGTTCCTTGTTTATTGCATAAGAATAGGTCATGCATGTAGTGGACCTATGGAATAGTGGGTGGTTATTCTCATGTAGCTATTTATCCCTGCATTGTTACTTTTGGAGGAATAATAGATATCAGACAATCATCCCCCAACTCTTCTGCTCCTTTCTTTTCTTCTTGTCTTCTTGATTGGGGTTTGATACTATCACAAGTTTGCCAAATTTACCCACTTAACTACCTTTATCTATTGAGTGCAAATGCTACCTTTCTATTTTAAAACAGACTATACACTCATTCTTTCATTATTGGTTGATTGGTTCATAAAATATTGGAATCAATTCAACCTAGCCACACAGATATATCAATATACAAAAGAGGCCCATAGTGTAGAAATTAAAATTTTTTGTTCTACTATTCAAGTCACACTGTTGGGTCACTCATCCTCAACGGTTGTTTCATATTTCCATTATTCCATATTAAGTAATTAAAGTGTTTTGACCATATTAGTCAACTAATAGGCATCAAACAATTCAACAGAGTGGCATGCAAATGAGACAAGAAAAGTAAGACAGGAGATTTAAACTTCATATTATCAGGGACCTTATTTTTTCATTTATTAGCGGAAGCCTTGCATTTAAATATCACATGGTATATTACCTTCAAATATAACTTCAGTAATGCTCTGTATAAGCATATTTAAGAGATTACCTGTTACACATTTCCCCCACCGTGAGTTTAAAGATCCCTTCACCACTAGCTTTCAGTGTGCGCCGCAAGTCACCATCAGTGAACGTTCCTTGCAGATGATAATCACAATCGATAACAAGGAGGCATCCGCATCCTTTACTAGTCAACTCTACTAACTGGTCCATAATGAGATCGCCTTCCTTACAAATTGGAAGTTCCTCATTCTTCTTCATTACATCCTTTACCTGTTAGCAAGTCAAGTTTCTCAGATCTTGATTTTCATTTATATTGATACACAGAGAAGCTTAACCTCGTACTCTAGGGTTTGGGTAATTCCTCAAGAATTAAAAGTGTTTCATATTCAAAAGGTATGCTAATATCTTCCATCCACAGAAAAGATTCCCAACACTGAACACACACAAAAAAAGGAATCCAAACAGGCTAGCAAGTGGTGCAAATTTAATAATTATTTCCCTATAAAACATAAACAAAATACTCTCTAAAGCAAAAAAGGAAAGAAGAATCTTCCCAATGAATACAACTGAAAATGGCTGTGATTGGAAAGTGAAGAATAGACTTCATTATTTTTACCTGTTTTTGTTAAAATGGCATCAAGCGCAAAAATAAATAACTAAATAAATATATAAATTGCATTAATTAGGTACAAAGATTAACCTTCAAAAAAAACGAAATGGGCACATCGATCACAATGCATTTCTGATAACAAAAATACAATACAAGATGTAGGGATTCCATGGAAAGATGGCTTCACAATTTTGTTCCACCTTAAGAAATTTTGGTTCCCTCACCTTGAAGATCAAGCTCTTCCCGATTCTGCCAGCGGGGTGGTTGGCAGCATAGTCGTCCCGGCTCATGTTCCTGGCGGCCATCAAGGCAATCGCCACTGTGTCTCCGAACACCATCTGGATGGCTGTAGACGTTACAGGAGCCAAATCAAAAGGGCACAATTCTCTCTCCAGAGGCAAATGCACGTTGAGATCGCAGAAACCCATCAAGGAATTGGGCTTCACCGAGGTCACGGAGATCAAAAACACCCCTTTAGCCTTCGCGCACGGAACGAGCCTAATCAACTCCTCTGTGTTCCCGCTCTTGCTGAACATCACGAGCAGATCCCCGGGAGCCAAAATGCCAATATCTCCGTGGAGCGCGTCCAGAGGGGACAAAACCCCAGACCTAATTCCAAGAGAGACCAGAGTCTGAGAGATCTTCTGGGCGACGAATCCGGATTTCCCGACGCCGGTGAAGATAATGGTGCCCTTAGCATTAAGGAGGGTGTGGGCGAAGGTGAGCGTCTGGGAGAGATCGAGGTTCTGGAAGAAATGGTTGAGGTATTTCTGCTGAGCTTTGAAGAGGTTCATCAAATTGGTCGGATCAATATCCGTGGATTCTTGCTTCGCCGGGAAGTCGGGCAACGAGAGAGACCCCATGTTTTCTCTCTTTTGCTTTCACGCTCAAGTGTGAACACATCCCATCATCGCCCCGTCAATCTATAAATAACAACATCCATCTATAAATAATCATCTTTATAAATGAAAACATGTACTCCCAAATTTGTATTTCATTTCTACACCAAAGTTATGCACCAAAATTTTGATGGTTCACATTGATACAAAGTGTTGGTGCGTTAATAAAAATTTACACTTACACAAAGTGTTGGTGTGTTAACAAAAATTAGCATTACACAAACATAAAATGTTAGTGCATCCCTCCGGTGTACAAAATGGGGTACAAATCCTTGGGTACAAATAGTTTTACCCTTATAAATATAGTCTCTGCTGTCAAAAAATACATATATACGGAGTATATACTCCCTCGATCCAAAAACAACTCTCGCTTTGACTTGACACAAAATTTCAGGTAAGTGAAAATGTATGGTTAAAATTGATGCAAAGCTAAGAGTTAGAGTGTTTGGCTGTATTTCGTTCGCCTGATCTGCTTTTTTGAATATCTGATATGGTCTAATCTGATTTGGTTTGATCTGATCTAATTGCAGTTATAATTAAGGTTGTTTCTGATCTAATTTAGTCTTATCTAGTCTGGTCTGATCTGATCTGATTATAATAAGAATAAGTAATAAACAGAAAAATAAGTTGAACGAAACGCTGCATTAGCCACTCAAAGTTTTCCTTAAAAGGAAAGAAAAGTCTCTTTTTAGGACACTTTAAAAAGAAAATAATGAGTCTTTTTTTTGGGAGAGAGAGTATATAGCCACTCCTTGAAAAACTTTTCTATTTTGACATTTTCTATCAAATTTTGACACTTATTGATCACAAATTAAAAGCATTATATTTAAGTTATATCATAAGATATATCGAATTAAATTGAATTTACATTATAATTGAATATATTTTATTCATAATTTATGTTCAGATAATGTGACTATTTGACAAAAAAGTCAAAAAAGAGACTTTACTGTTACTTAGGTAATACTTCCTCCGTCCCAATTTTGATTGCAATCGTTTTTCTCTCACGTCTCGATAAAAAAAATTTACTTTTGTTTTTTCACTGATTATTTTATAAAATAAAATATTTTTTTCGCCTCTTATTTTATAAAACTTTTGACTTAGTTTTTTAATTGACAAAAATACTAAAGTAGAAGAAAAACATTAAAAATATAAAAAAATAGGAGTTCCGTGTTTTTATTCCTGAAATTAAATAGGAGTTGAAGGTCACTTTACGTTACCAATCATAACCATTTACGTTACCAAAAAGTATAGTCTAATGCAGATGAAAGTGCCACATTACCACAGTGCAAACTCCTATTTAGAAAATAAAAACATGAAATTCCTATTTTGTTATTTTCTTTATGTTTTACTCATATTTAGGATGATTGTTTTATATGTGTGTTTGTCTATATGTGTGTGTGTGTATATATTGATGTAATACTTAATAAATAAAATGATTTCAAAAAATACGAGGTTTAGTCTCATAAATCCTAATTTGTGATCAAAATTATGATAGAGGGTGTATATTTTGGAGTATATTTTTCGAATTTTGACATTGAAAAGGTTCCTAGCCCAAAACTCCCCAAAGAAATCTAGTAGCCCGCATGGGTAGCTCAACTGGTTCAAGGAGATGATGTCAAACCTGTTGATTCTAGGATCGAATGTGTGATATCTATTATTTGTAATAGCTCCTCGTGTAAGGTGATAAAAACATGGTTAGGGTTTTGGGCTCCGTATTTACTTAATGTACCTGGACCAAAACGTACTTTTTAGGTCCACGAGCTCCAAATCCAAATCCATTTGCGCCATTGGATTCGTACCGTCGAACACTACACAACGGTATAATTCTTTTTGTCAAACGAAGAATATTTTGAAATTACACCAATTCTGTCTCTTTAATTAATTAATTATTATAAATTAATTAATATTGATAGGTCGGGTTTTGGGGTATTACATCATCAATGGTCTAGGCCTTGTAATAGTGATAAAGTCGGGATATAGGGATAAGTAAATAGTAAGAATGGATTGCACAAAGGAAATGGGCTTAAACCAACGACCTCTTCTCTAAACCGTCTCTCTTAGGATTGGAATATTCTCAAGGATGTCGGAATATTCTTTTATTACTCTCTCTCTATTACAAGATTCCCCCCAAGGTGCTGGTACCTTTTATAGGAGTCCTCCCCAACCACCATCCTATCAACATATCCTATGGTGGTTGGGTATGGACTAGTGAGATCTCATTCTCCTCCCTTGATCTTTCCTTCCACTTCAGGTTATTGGCTTAAGGACAAACAAAAAAAAATATTCACATCTCTCTTTTGTCTCAAATCTTGACAGGGACGCATTTGTCAACTTGCTTAAAGGAGGCGCTACCCTAATCTCAAGGGGATGGGCCATGTTGCTTCTTAAGGACTCGGTTTTCTATTGTGTTGGGCCATGGCTTTGTTTAGAAAATAGCTTTTCGAATAGCTTTTGACATCTTTGACTAACTTTATCTTTTATGACTAAGCGAACAGCCAAAATTATTGCTTGGCTAATGGCTTTTTCACTTGGCATTTTGATACGAAAAGCCAAAATCTGAAATGCCAAGGGGAGTAGCATTTGTACTTGGCTTTTAGGAAAATTAATTTTTTTAAAATCAATTTTGTTGAAAGATATTTTATAATATATGTAAAAAATAAAAATAAAAGTTAAAAAAATTAAATACTAAAAAAATAAAATTTAAAATTTAAAAATTTCAAAAAAATGAAATGAGAAAATAAAAAGTAAAAATCATTAAAAAATTTTATATTAATAATTTCTTAAGATAAAAGTAGAGAGGGTGTCTTTATATTGTCCCACAAAAGTATGGTGAGGGAGGGTGTCTTTAAGTGGATCTTACCTCTACATAAAAGTAGAGAGGCTCTTTTCAAGAGACGCTCAACTTTGGCAAGAAGAGAAACGTGTACAATGTTTAAAAAAACAAGGAGCAATTAAAGTCAAAACAAACAAACCTTAGCAAAAAAGATCTAAGTCCAAATAACTACCCAACTATCTTAGTCCTTGTGTATATGAATAAGGATACACTTTCCCCAATCCAAAACCTACAAATTGACATGAATGAGAACCTAACAATTGACATGAACAAGAAAAACAAAGAGAAAAGACTTAGGAAGGTGTATTCAATCACGATTCTAAAAGATTTTGATAAATTGTTTAAAGTATATGGATTATGTAAGATTCATGGATTGTTTTAAATCTATGCAGAGTTTGGTAGATTTTAATGTATTTTATTAGCAAGATTTTATAGGATTCTGTCTGATTGTTTATAATCCATAAATTATTTATACATAAATATTAATTATTTTATAAATTTATACATTGTTGTAACATCAGCTATTGTAATTAACTATTAGAAAACTTTGCTTATGAATTTGATTAAAATTTTTAAAATAATATACTAATATTAAAATAATTTATTGTTTAAAAAATATCATTATCATAATATATTTATTAGAATAAAATAATGCTTCGTATAGTGCTCACAGTCATAAGCAATAAATTTGTTTTTGCAACTAAAATTGTTATTATCTCTCAACTATTTTTTTTGTATGTCAAAACTCATCAATAAAAATCTAAAGACAACACAAAAGAAGAGATTGTCCAAAATTTAAAGATAATTGAAAAATAAAGTTAGTAAACAACATAGTCTTCCATTTCAACTTTATTATCACCAAAACCTTCTTCATTATCCTCATTAGCATGATTTGTGGTCTATTGCCCCACATAGCTACAACAATGCCTTGTCTCCAAGCGTTAGCTTTTGTTCTTTGTTGTTGTTGAGCTTGATAAAGTAATTCAGAATTTTCTTCTTCCATGTCAAGATATGATGAAGAAGATGACTCAATTTCTGGTGTAGAAGGAAATTCATCAGAACGATACTCTTTACAAAGAAAGTTATGTAGTCCGGAAGAAGCTAACACTAGCTCTACGTGTGTTTCAAATGAAAAAGGAGCATTCTCCTTGACACAAATCCATGATGGACATGAAATCAATTATGCAAAAGCGAAATAGCAAATACACACCACAGATCACAATAATTATTAGCATCATCATCATCACCATAATCGAATTGCACATAAATGCAAAGCTAAAACAACTAAACATCATATTAAAATAATAAAATTAACTACCAATAGATGGTGAGTACATCAATAATGAGATCATAGAGGATGAATTTTTCAATATTAGCACATGCCTTCTACCCATACAAAAACAATATTTTGGGAAGTAGATGCAATGGAGGAAAAATATTTATATAGATATTAATGCATGAAAATATAATACACTCCTTATTTCAACCAAAGGAGGAAGAAATCATAAAAACACCTCTTCTAGACATTTCTTCAAACACATAGAGCGTATAAAAATATTAACCTAAAATTTTATAATTTTAAAAATCTGAAACATAAGTTTAAACAATTACCCGGAGTATAAAAATAAACAAATACAAGCAATAACTAATTACATTACAAACAAAAATAAACAAATTCAAATTACTACGTATATAAATAAGTAAAAAATGAAGGTTCTTCTTGGTGAAAATAGAATTAGAATGGAATAAAGAGGGTGGAGGACTAAAAAAAATGGAGTTAGGAATAAAGAGGGTGGAGGACTAAAAAAGCTAATGTTTGAATAAATCAAAGATGTCGACTGGAAGATGAGTATGCCGACTATAACAGACCCAAGGATCAACAAATAGATATGAGTATGGAAAAAACCTACCATAAAGATGCTGACTGAAAGCACAGAGACGGTGAGACGATGAAGGAGATTTGAAGAAGACGACCAAAGGAGTGGCCGAGTGAGAGTTGAAGAAGACGAGATGAATGACAGGAGTGGGCGAAAGAATTTTTTAAATCTTTATTTGGGAATGGATTTGTATTCATATGCAAGGCCTAAAAATCTATCAAAACCCACAAGTTTTAAAATTCTTAAAATTCTATCATTTTTTAATACCATTATATTTAGAAGAATTTTTTAAAATCTGAATTGAATACACTCAGATTTTAAATGATTTTTTAAAATCTAAATTGAATACCTACAGATTTTCAAAATCCAAAAAAAACCATACACCCCTTAAGTTTGTTCTCTTGATCTGAACTGCCTGAATAAATTTTGATCTAATAATTTGATCTGAGCTCAATATAGTTGTATTTAAAATTATTTTTGATGTTATTTGATATGAACTGATTTAATAATAAAAAAATACTCCCTCAGTCCCACATAGATCTTCCCAATAGCCCTTTTTTTTTTGTCCACAATAGATCTTCTCATTTCATTTTTTAACAATTAAAATACCAAAACTACCCTCACTTACTTTATTTATTACACCTCACCCACCTCATTTAATACACTCCACCCATTTTCATTAAGGGTATTATGGTAAAATTTCACCTTTTTCCAACTCTCCTTAAAAATAACCAAAAGTCAAAATGAGAACATCTTGGGGGCGGAGGGAGTAATTAGGGGGATAACATGCTGAAATCGTCTTGTTCTCTTCTAAATTTCAGCCCTTCGATTGATGGGTCGTTGCCACGTGGCCGGATCCTAACGGTTGAATGAGAAATCAGCAAAACCTCTGAACAAAACCCTGAAGAACAGAAACCTCTCTTCCCCCAGGACACCCTTTCATTCCCAACCGACGAGCCTCGCGTTCTCACTTTGCAATTCAGAGGATTCTGATCAAAGCTTGATATGAAACCCTTCAAAGTTTTCAGAGGATTGAGCTCAGCAGTATCAGTATCCACCAAACCCCGCACGTCCCGTTTCAATTCATCCCTTTTCTGCCGATATTTCTCCGCGCAACCGCGAGAAACCGAAAATTCCTCGGCCGCGGCCGCAGTCCCATCTTCATCTTCTTCCGAAGAAGATGAGTTCTCGTCATCAGATGTGTTCGACAGCTCGGATTATGCATTGGGTTCGGATGTGGCAGACGATTCGGGCAATGTGAGGGTTGAGCCCACTTGGGATGAGAAGTACAGGAATGAAGCCAGGAGGAGGATGTTCGGGGAAGATGTTCCTGATGCGAGTAGTTCCAGAGGTTTCTCAAAGGAAGAGGAGAAAAGGAGGAGAGCTGCCGCTCTTGCGAAGAGCCTTCTCGAGGCTGTGAATAGGAAGGTCGAGAAGGATGATGAGGTGCAGGAGGGTGGGAGGTTGGTGAAGGAGGAGGATCAGAAATCTCTGTCTGTTGGGATTATTGGGGCTCCCAATGCTGGAAAATCTTCTCTCACGAATTCCATGGTGAGCCTTTTGTTTTTCTCTAAAAATTCAGCCTGCCTTTTTTTTCTCTTGCGGAAATCCAATCTTTTGTCCTTGATCAACTTCACATATTGTATGGGCTTTTTAGCCATAGCGGGACCAGTGCTAAGAGTTATTTTCTTCAGAAATGTGAAGTCTGCAATAGAAATGTAGAATATGTTAGTTGATTATTCATTTTCTGTGACGATGATAGGAATCCAATGCCCACCTTTTTTTGTTTTGCGGTGGGAGCAGCATGCATAGTTTACTCTTTGAAAAAGTTTTATTTTCTAGGAATTCAGTCTTGAATAATTTCATGTGGTAGGAAGGACAAGAATGCATCTTTAATTTTTAAAGCCATTGGGATCACGTTTTAAAGTTTGAAAGAACATAAAGCAGTTCGTATAATTAGTATGATCTTTAAATGGTGCAACTTTTCTTCAGAATAAGAACACTTTTTCTTTGTAGTTGGTTTGGAATTTATGATGGGATGATTTTAAAGGCTGAACAACAAACCTAGTATAATCCCAACTCAGTTAGGTCTTTGGGGGGGGGGGGTCAAGATGTATGTAACCTTACCCAAATAAAAAACAAAGAGGTTGTTTCCATTAAACCCTAGATGCATTGCTGCATTTACTTCCCTAAACTTCCACAGAAAATAAGCACATGAACTTTATTGTGCCATTTTAATTTAGTCTATTCTTTACATGAAGTTAAACATTGAAAAAAATGACTGTTTTAGCTCCATTGGCAATGGATGACATTAGAGGTTGAAAGATATTATTATTTTTTAGAAATGTTTTGATATCTAAGTTGTTAGGTAAATAGTGTCTTTATGGATCTTTTGATATCATGCTATTAGTGGCCCCTATCTAACTATTTCTCTACTCTGGGTGGTTGTATTGTTGTTTATTTTTTCCTTATGCTAAACATTTGACAACGTTATTCTAAATAGTAAATGTGGAGATATATCTATTCCTCTCCTAGTTCTACCAGTGGCTTTTAGGGGTAAATTTTTTTTATTACATGTGAATTGTAAGATGCAATTGCATTTAAATTTGTAAATGTGGTAAGCACTATGCAGTGTAAAACCTTGACATATCTTAACTTTAAAGGCACTACAGTCAGGTAGAGGCCTCCCAGAATTTTAGTTTTGGAACATTCAATCTGCATTAGATTGTTGTAGTTTGTCTACCAAGACAAATGTCCGTGGTAACCATTAAATTGGGAATTTAGTAAACCATTTGTGACTTTAAAAATTAGATGTCTTTGATTCAGATGCCACAATCAGCATCGTTTCATATTTATTTAAATGGTTGACAAAAAGACTATTCTATTACTATCCTAATGCTGTGTTTGGTTGGATTGGGGGGGTGAGGGCTGAATGCTGATGATTAGAAAGCTTTTAAGAACCATATGATCCTCACCATTCATTTCTCTTAGCCCCCTGCCTTCAACCAAATACATCCTATGTTGAAAATCAGAACTTTTGCTGCAGGGAAAATTGATTAGTTCAAATAAAATTGACACTTAATCTGGGATTCTTCTGTAAAAGAGAATCAGTTCTAAGTGTTTGAAGGGTTTGGTATATCCCTTCTTGTGGTCTGATACTTAAAAAGGGAAAAAGCAAAAAGCTATGGAAGTATGAAGTAAATATTTATTAGAATCAGTTTTCAAAATTATGGGGGGAACAGTTTATGAAATTATCAGTTTCATGACTCCGGGATCACTTCTAGAAATACTATCAAACACCTCAAAAACTGGTTTTTCTAATTCTAGTGGACCATCATGTGGTTATTCTTATTTTATTCTTGAAAATGGTACGGTACATTCATCAATTTTCCAAGGGAATCTTTACACTATGTTTGGTTCAAGGAATTTGAAAGGAGAAGAAAAGAAAATGGGTTTCTCTCATTTTTCCTAATCAAAATGGAATGAATTTGGTTTTCTCTCCTTTAAGTACATTTTGCGTTCTTATTTTCTTTTTCTTCAACTTTTCTTTTCTTTTCCTCTCTAACCAAACAAGAAAAATGCTTTCCTTCTCATTTTCTTTTCCTTTTCCTCTCAAATTCCCTGAACCAAACATAGTGTTAGAGATTCTTGTGATGTGATTCCTAAAAAGAAAATTAACAAAAAACAATAGAGTAAATGTTAATTAGATTTGTATTTATGAGTCATGGGGCGAGCTGTTTATGAAATTTATCAGTTTCTGGAATCCATGATCACTTCTAGAAATACTATCAAGCACCTCAAAAACTGGTGTTTCTAATTCTACTGGACCATCATGTTATTCTGTTTATTTTATTCTTGAAAATGTGAGATGCATTCATTAGTCTCCTAAAGCACTTGAGCTTTTGGTTTAATTATATATTCTTCTGAGTTGGTTTCTTTCACTGCACTCTCTGCCCTAGGTTGGAACTAAAGTTGCTGCTGTGTCACGCAAGATCAATACTACTACACATGAAGTGCTGGGAGTGATGACTGAAGGAGATACACAAATTGTTAGTCTCTTTTTTATTGATGCAGCATATGCTTATCCATCTTCATCTGAAATCAAAATGCAACATTATATGTGTTGCAACTGCTAAAATTGAACTAGGATATTAATACACTTTAAACACTCACCTACCACATAACGTTTATAGCTCTCAGTCCTACCATACTTTTATAGCTCTTAGTCCTACTTTACCTTCAAAACTAGCCCTTTTAATTTCTTTTCCCTCATATATACACTAAACTAGTGTAATAATGTATTGAATATGTAATTATATAAAACCAACACAACATATATTGCGAATCAGCGTTTTGCCTTTTGTTCTGCTCTTCTGGTTTTTCCTCTCTTGCTTCTACACCCCTGTTGGGTGGTGGCTCTCGCCACATGCCTAGCCTTAACTCTACTCCATCCCGTAAAAATTGTGATTGAATTGTGTTTAGAGAGAGAAAACTTGTGAGCCATATGTTTCACTCCTCATCTAGAAAAGGGGCAAGTGAGAAGCTTATTTTGGGACAGACGAAAAAGGAAAGCGTGAAGGTTATTTTGGGTTGTAAGGAGTATATATTGAACATGAACTAGTGGTTTTCCTTAACACTTGAGCTACTTATAAGAGGTTTAAAAAAATTGAACCTTTATGTGTGACTAAGTAGACATTATATTAGAGGTAATTGATAATCACCATCAAGAATGTCAAGAAGCTTTAGACTGTATATACTCCAAGTCCCCCTCCAATAAAAAGTTTTGTTTCAGGAATGCACAACTTTTTAATTTTAGTAAGGCACACACCTATTGGAAATCATGAAATATAGATTTATTCTTAAACTTATTTATTTCTTTAACTAATTTGTGACACTTTGTTTCATAAAAAAAGTAAGACATTAAGTATGATAAAAACTAGCTTCTTCTGAATAAATTTTGAAACATGATTTTTCCATTATTGGGCGGAGGGAATATATGTTATATGAATATAATTTATTTTAGCATGTGAGTTAATTAATGTTGCATGTCAAAACTAAAAACAATGCTATAAGACATTGCTTGCAATAAATGCATATATAAACTTTATCATTACTCTCATTTTTGTTTGGATTATAACTAATTGAGTATGCAGTGTTTTTTTGATACTCCAGGACTGTTATTAAAGAAAAGTGGCTTCCCATATAAAGACATGAAAGTGCGTGTTCAGAGTGCATGGAGTTCTGTTAGTCTTTACGAAGTACTTGTTGTCATATTTGATGCTCATAGGCACCTTACCAAGTTAGTTATCTCTTGAGTTTGCCTTGAAAATGCTTCATCTATTTTTTTTCTACAATGCATTTAAATGTTAATTATATGAATACAAGACTGCATATGTGTAGTATGCTGGCACAATCAATCTTTTACTATCGTTCTTTCTTGACACAACAAGAACAAAAACCCACTAAGGTGTCACAAATGTGGCTTCGTGAGGGTTGGTGTGTGAAGACGTTACACCACACCCACCTATAATGTTGCCTTACCGAATACTCCCCCCGTTCTCAAAATACTTCTCTCTTCAATTTTTTCCACTTCCAAGAGAACACTTCCACTTTCTATTAAAAAACTACTTTTTTCCTTACTTTTTCATACCCTACCTATCACATCATACTTTTTCTCTAATAATCTATCCATCATATCTTACTTTTACCCATCACATCAAGGGCAAAATTGGAAGTTAACTATAATTAACACTTCCTTATTTTTAAACTTGGTCAAACTAAGATCCCTTTTTGAGAACAGAGGGAGTATTTTTTTTTTTACAAATGAGTAAATTCCCAAAATGGTACTCAATAACTATGCGATTCCCCAAATTAGTCCCCAAGATGAACTATTTACCGAGATGGTACTCGTTAATCGAAAAGAATGCCCAGTTTAGTCCCCTCGACTAACAACCATCAAAACAGCATTAAACTTATACTAATTTTCCAAAATGATCATCTCTGAATGAATGTTTTTTCCAAATTAGCCCATTTTCGAAATAAAAAGTCATAAAAATGGTGTCCTGACTTCACTCAACTACTCAAGCATCGTAAACCAATTAAAAGAGAAGACTACGGCTTTGGTTTTTCATATTTAATGAGTTTTTACTTCAAAAATGGACCAATTTGAAAAAATATCCAATTACAAATACACATTTTGGGAATATAGTATAAGTCTTAATGTCGTTTTGATGCGTGTTAGTTTGGGGACTAAACTCGACATTATTTTTAATTAACGAGTACCATCTCAGTAATTAGTTCATCTTGGGGACTAATATGGGAAAACACATTGTTATTGAGTACCATTTTGGGAATTTACTCTTAGCAAATTGTTTATAGGAATGATTAGTTTTTTTCTTTTTAACTTTCTGATAAGCTTTACCTGACAACACAATGTGTCCATGCAATGATGTTTTTTATCAAGGTTTGACCTTTGAATGGGAGACTAGAGCTGTTTCATAAGTATAGTTATCACAATGCCATGGCCTAGTCGACTAGGCATCTCTACCTAGGCAATAATTTGGCGACAAATACTCCCTTATGAGACGGAGGGAGTAATAAATAAATTACTAACTATAATTCATAAACTGTAAAGATCAAAGTCACCATACTTTAATATCCATTTAGAACAAATAAAGTTTCAAATATCAAGAAAGCTAAGATTCTAAATCGCTAGTCATGTGGTATTTGGCTAGGTCTACGTTGCAACGTGGTACGGCTGCAGAATGTAAGTTCTGAGTGGAACGGTTGGGTTTTCTTCAAGCTATATGAAATTTAGGTTGGGTTAGGTTGTGTATCGTGAAACGAGTAGTTGACACTTGACAGGACGACGGAACAAAGTCAAACAGTAGTTGAGGAGCCCGGTCGACACATCGGCAGTAACTGGGTGACTAGTGACTACTCAGTACTCATCAAGAGGTCGAAAAAATTATAACAATGGAGGTGCCATCCTCTTATAGTGGTAAAATTTGTAATAACTTGGTGCTCTCATAAGCCTTAAGGAAAATTTATAAACATCCATAAAACATTATTTAAATTAATAACATAAATAATCCATAAATGTTGAAGGAAGTACATTGTGATATTACAAAATGCCAACAATGAGGTCTGCCCTTTTCTCCTAATGTTTTCTCTGGAACAACATTATGATCTCCAACATCAGCATTCGATGCAAATCTGTCCTTTGGACTTTGAATTCCTCTTTGAGAGTTACTCTCATCCTTGAAGAACTGGTGAATGCATTCACAACTTTGAATCACATTGGGAACTTTTGGACATAGTGCCACATTTGTTTTGCATGTTTGACATATGCCCATTTACACGTTATAGAATACTCATTTCAGATTTCATTTCTTTCTATATACTTAGACTCTTAGAGCATGCACATTATTAAATCGATATGTGCACATTGCATAATGCTCATTCGTTAATAAAATAGTTTTTCAATTTGTTGCTAATAACACTTCCAATCAATGAAAGAATAAAAATGATTTGAAACTGAAATATCAGAAAAGCGCAAATTTAATTTTTTTCATGTATGTACATTTATGAGTTATATAATACTCATTAGATTTACGTAAGCGTAGGTACATCTGGGTGTATAGTATATTTGTGCTCTATTCTAGAGGGATTAATAGCTGATTCTTGAATGCGCACTGATCACATATAGGCCTGATCAGAGAGTAGTGAAATTGATTGAACGGATGGGTTCTGAAGTTCACAAAAACCAGAAGCGGGTCTTGTGCCTGAATAAAGTTGATTTGGTTGAGAGAAAGAAAGATCTGTTGAAGGTTACTGAGGAGTTCAAACATCTCCCTGGCTATGACAAGTAAGTTTCACACTTTCACCTTGTATACAATTTGTTGACAAGTGATTATGCTCATGTCTTTAAAAAAAATCTTTGCTCAGGCATTTTATGATATCCGGGCTAAAGGGATCAGGGGTGAAAAATTTAACACAGTACTTGATGGAGCAGGCATGTCCTCTAATTTTTCCCTTTCTAAATTTAGTGGGAGTTATTCATATGAAAGAGCATGTAAAAAATCATTGGCCATATCCATTTGCATAAGTTACTATATTTTCACTCAATAATGCAAAACTGTTGGGGGAAAGCTGTGGCTCATGAATGGAAACACTTCATTCTTCATGAATTTGGGAACTCATGCCTTAACCTGCATGAAAAAGTGTGGTTTGTTATATATGAGTATGTAATGTGAAGGTTGGTCAAAATGGACAAATCGATAAGGTTAATGTGACTACTTGGTATGTATCTCTTTTTGCATGGAAGCGAATTGTCAATGACCTTTGAATCCGTCGGATATCAGGAATATCCATATAAAAGAAGAGGTATCCATAGAGAGGTTGTTTAAAAGAGACCTCGAGCCTAGGATTGAATATATTTGAGACAAATCTGGAGCTTTTGATCTTCGTGCTCCCGCTGAAGAGGGAGTTGAAGTATGCACCAAGTTATGGAATATGCACTATGTTCATGAAGGGCACTAGGTTCATGAAATATGCACAATGTTCATGAAGTAAGCACTAGGCTCCATGCACATATTGTGTGCTTCAGGTACTCTGAGATAACCAAGCTCTTTCAGCCAACCCCATATCAGAGTGCTTCTTTTTACTCCCTCCGCCCAAAAATGTTTTTCCCACTTTCCTTTTTCATCCGTCCAAAAAATTTCTTCCTGTTTCTTTTTTTGGCAAATAATTTTCAAGTAAATGTCTCATTTGCCCTTTTAACCAACATCACCCAACTACATTTATCTAAACCCAACCTTCTCTTCTTCCACCCCTCTTTTTCAACCGCAGACCTAACAATCATCATTTCCCACTTTCTTCATCTTCCATCAAAATCAAACTGGCCATCTTCTGTCTACAGCCTTCAGCAAACTCGCCACCACCACGACCTCAAGTCTCACCGCCAAATGCAGCCCAGCTAGATCTTCTCTGTTCCAATTTGTACCTCCTTCGCCATCTCTATCACTGTTGGTCCCGACCTCACCTCTCAGCCGCCAGACCTAGCTGGATTGGATATTCTCTCTTCCGATTTATGCATCCATCTTCATCTCTGTTACTGCCACCCAAAGAACGCCTCTTGCCGGAACCAGCCGATCTCTCCAGATTGATGGCATATTCTTATGAATACCAGTGGTGTCGATTTATAGATCTGCGGTGGTCCCTATTGTCATCGATGCCATGGTACTTTGAGCGATAATGGTTTCTGGCGATAGGAGTGGTTAAATCATTCCTTCGCTGGCGTTTGATGGCAGCGTGGTTGGATTGAAGGATCCAGTTACAGGGATGGGCGGATGACAACATAGTAGTTGGGGAGGGAGGGTAGAAGGCATTTTAGGAAAGCCAACGTAATTTTAATCTTAAATAAATTTGCATGCAAAGTCAAATTGGGAAAGAAAATTTTGGACGGAGGGAGTATTTCTTTATTTCTCAGGATCTTAGCCAATTTATTTATGCTTCAGACTATTGATATGCTCAGGCAGTCAAAAGACCATGGGATGAAATACCATTCGTCATTACTGAGGAAGTTATGAAGAACATATCAATGGAAATTGTCAGGGAAAAGTTGTTAGATAATGTGCATCAGGTACGGTACTACTATATCTTTCTTTTTAATATTTATATAAGTGTTACATACCAGAATGGATGATGATAATGATAATATTGTGAGGAAATTCCTTAGCTCGCAAGTTCAATTGATGTATTATTCAGCCTAGGCTAAAATAATCTTGCACTTGCTATAAATTCAGGAAGTTCCATATGGAATTGAACATCGGTTAGTTGACTGGAAGGAATTACGAGACGGTTCTCTCAGAATCGAGCAGCATTTAATCACACCTAAGATGAGCCAACGCAAGATTCTTGTGGGAAAAAAGGGTTCCAAAATCGGGTAATGCCCCTTCCAAAAAATTAGTATTATTCCACATGCATCCCTTATATTCTTGGAGAGCAAAAGTGAAGTGAAAAGTCTTTTATACCCCTAAAATGCAGGAAGATTGGGATTGATGCGAACGAGGAGTTGAGATCAATTTTCAAGAGGAACGTCCATCTCCGCCTCATGGTGCGAGTGAAACAATGAGCTCAGTGTGGTCATGTTGAAACTTTGCCAATACCTACAGAAACAACTGCTTCCAACAATGCTATTTGCTTGATCATGGTGTTTTTTGGGCTTGAAGAAACCAAAGGTATATAAATGTGCATCTAGTTTGGGCGCATTACACATTTCACATCTATGGAAGGAGATTATGGCAATCTGGCTAGAAGCTCTGGAGTGCTTTCTGTTTATTTTAAAATGTTTTTCGTTTTATTTTCTAGAAATTGAGAAAAAGTTCATGGAGGAAGCAAGCAATCCAGGGTTGGCAACTAATTGAATGATCAAGTTTGTGCTTTTGCCTGAGAAAAGTGTTCTTTGTTCATCAATTTTTTTGTGTACCGATTTTTATGACATAAAAAATATTAAAAGTTCATCCCCCTCTTCTATGAAAAGGTTGTACTTTTCTTTCTTCCTCAATTTAGAAAATGATTCCTCTTTTTTTTCTTCTTATTTTAGAAAATGATTCCTTTTTTTGAGGAACCAATTAGTGTCATTTATACTTCTTGCATGAGTTGCATCCCGGATTGCTAATAAATTTCCACAATTGTCCAGTTTGTTCCAACAGAACTATTAATGTGAAATCAAAAAACAAAATTATGAACTTGCAAGTATATAAAAGGTTAAAAAAAACTAAAGCTAACATAAAGATAATATTTTATTCAAGAGAAATTTACCTAAATAGGACTAAAACATAATGCTTTTTCCAATATAGGACCATATGTTTTTATTTCCCAATGTAGGACTTTTGGTCATTATCAAGTAGTCATTATTCAACTAAATGTCCATCATTACTAGACATTATTCCTTCCACTAGGTCATTATTAAGTCCTATTTAGGGAATAAAAAAGTTTAAATCCTACATTCAGAAAGTCATTATGTTTTAGTCATATTTAGTGCAAATTTCACTTTATTCAATGAGTAATGAAATAAACAAATACAATTAATATACTTTGATCTTGTTAATAGTGAAGAAATTACACGTTCTATTATAATGGAGTACGCAGTATCATGTCTCTTTTGAGAAAAATACCTAAGATATGATTAAAACATAATGAGTTTACATTTCTTAAAAAAGTCCATTGAAGTTTTGAGATATCCGAATGCGATGGATATTTATATTTCTATATCCGAATCTGCAACAGACGGATAAATGCCGATTTTGAATATATCAGGATTCGATTACATATCCGAATCCGACCGAATAACTGTAAGATGCGGGCAGAGAGATTCACACCCAACACCTCCAACCTTAAAATTTAAAGTTGTAGCTATTTGGGCTAAAACAAACGCTTGGTATTTGTAAGCAGCACATAATATATATTTGTTTCTTAATACATCCCGTGTTCTAATCTTTTAACAAAATAATCTACATCTAAATCCGACCGAATAACAATATGTTCAAACCCAGAATAAAACTGTAAGATGCGGGCAGAGAGATTCAAACCCAACACCTCCAACCTCAAAATTTAAAGTTGTAGCTATTTGGGCTAAATCAAACACTTGATATTTGTAAGCATTACATAATATATACTCTCTCCGTCCCTAAATAGATTACAATTTTTTTTCTCTTTCCTCTCGATAACTTTTGTTTGTTTACGTGATTTCATTAAGTATTTGATAAAATAAAATATTCTTGTCCCCTCTTGTTTTGTAGAACTTTTGACATAGTTTTTTAATATGTAATTTTTATATCTTATTGATATACCAATTTATAAATAAAATGATTTCAAAAAGTAGGAAGTTTTACTCCGTAACCTGCAATTTGTAGTCAAATTGGGGACGGAGGGAGTATTTGTTTCTTAATACATTCTGTGTTCTAATCTTTTAACAAAATAATCTACATCTAATTCTAATGCTTTGTATTTTTTCTTTAAATAAACTTTCTATAATTTATAATTATATGCATACTAATGTTATGCGATAATATTTTATTTTATTTAAAAGTAGTTTAAAAAACTTGGTAAATTTTTTTATTTAAACATAAATATGAATATTTTATACCAAGCTATGGGTCGTTGACCTAAGTCAACCTGGTTCAACCGGTTGACCCTTGACCCAGTTGCTAGTTCGATTCAAGGTCCGATCCGGTTTTAGAACATTGCCGAACATCTGAAACTGTTAATAAAAATTGAAATGATTATAAAAGGAATGTGAAAGTGAATATCAACATCCATAATACTGAACAATGTCAAATACGTAAAAAACTACTATCTAAATAGTAAATACTTAACCAAAACAAATGATTCGAAAAAATATGAATTCATAATCGACCAAGTACTTTATGGGAGTATTAGTTGGACACTAAGGTAGATATTTTTGGATATATGGGCCAGGTATAAATGTATTATGGGACACTAAGGTATATTTTTGGATATATGGGCCAGGTATAAATGTATTATGGGATAGGTAGATATTTATATTTATTAAAATGATTTTAATTCGGTACTCAGAAAAAAGGATACTCTGATAAATGGTTATTTAAACGGATATATATCTGGATCAGATTTTAAATGGATCGAATATCAAATCCGTATCCGTTTAGTATTTGGATGTCCTTAATCAGATACGGATAATATCACTTTAAAACGAATACGAATTATACCTGTTTAAACGGAAACGAATGCGGACGATAATCGGATTTTCGGTTATCATTGACAGCCCTAGCTATAAGTGATGATACACTAGACTCCATTTTCATTATTGCTTTGCTAGAAAATAATAAAAATATTATTACTTAGGGCCTGTTCTTTAGAACTGTAAAAAAAGAGCTGGATGTTAGAAGAAACTAGAAAAAACTGGAAGAAACTCGAAGAACTGGAAGGAACTGGAAAAAACTGAAAGGAACTGGAAAAAACTGGAAGAAACCGGAAGAAACTGGAAAAAACTGGAACGAACTGGAAGAAACTGGGAAAAACTGGAAAACCTAAAAAAAATTTTAAAAATATTTATTTTAAATTCTTGTTGTTATAAATTATTAATATAATAATAATAATAATAATTATTATTATTATTATCATTATCATTATCATTATCATCACGTTATCTTAGTGTATGTTTTTAAGATATAAAAAAAGTATTGTTATTTTTAAATACAAAAAACTACTTTTTCAAAAAATAATTATAATATAAAGTTAGCATAAATATAAAAATATTAAATTTTAAAAAGGTTGTGTAGTTATATTGCACCTCAATTTATTTATGCAGTATTTATTATAAATAATATATTTGTAATTATAATTTATATATTAAAACATTTTATTTTAAATATCATACATGTCACATAATCAAACCTATTGTTTCTTTCATGATTGGCATTTTATTTTCATTGAATTCCTATTTTTGGAATAAAGACATAGAACTTTTTTGTTAACATTTTTTTATATTTTATTCATATTTTAGTCTTTTTCTCTATGCTCTTTCGACTTACAATTTTTTAAAAAAAAATTAGAAAAATGAGCAATTTTTAAGTAATAAATGGAAAACTGAGATGTCTTATAAAAAGTTATATTAATAAAGCATTCAATGTAACTATTTTATCCATAATTTCTTAGTATAATACTTGGTCCGTCCCTGAGTGTTTGTCCACTTTTGACTTTTGGAACTGTTCTAGATTCGTGAAACTGAATAGTTTAAGAGAGTTACACATTCGGATTTTTATCAGTACACACTAGAACAAACTAAGCAGAATTGTATATCTAATAATTATATATTAAAAATATTAAAAAATTATATGTTTAATGTTCTATTTTACCTATAAAGAAGTGCATTGGATGGTGTGCAAAAATGAAAGTGGACAAACACTCAGGAACGGAGGGAGTATAACATATTGATGTTTTCCTGTTTTATCATGTAGACTAATATACAAAAAAATGTTTTATTCATAATAAGTGTGAATCGTAAAAATAGTGAGATGAAAAAAATAATTTATAAACTATAGTTATGAATATAACAGTTGTAATAATAATAATAATAATAATAATAATAATAATAATAATAATAATAATAATAATAATAATAATAATAATAATAATAATAATAATCACATTGAAATATATCATTTTTAGAGTAATTGGTTGAGGAGTAAAAGAATTTGAAGAAAATGAGAAAAGTTAAAAGAAACTAGAAGAAACTAGAAGGAAATGGAAGGAACTGGAAGGAACTGGAAGAAACTGGAAGAAATTGGAAGGAACTGGAAGAAACTGGAAGGAACTGGAAGAACTGGAAGAAACTGGAAGGAACTGGAAGAAACTGGAAAAAACTGGAAGGAATTGGAAGAAACTGGAAGTTAAGAGTTCAAGCCCTAAAGAACATGCTCTTATGGTAGTGTTTGATTATTAGTCAACTTCTTATTCCTATTTATGGTAGATATTGTATTTTGGTTAGTTTCCACTCTCTATTTCTAATTATGTTAGAAGTCTCTCTTATATGTTCTCTCTCATGTACTCCATAATTCAATGAACAATATTATTATTCCATCATTCCAACATGGTTTTGGAGCCAGCGTTCTTGGTAGCCTAAAATTTTATGTTAGCCTTGGTTTGCTAAGCCTCATGTTTTGATGTTAACAAACAATATAAGAGCTTAACGTTTGTTTAAGTGTTTCAGGAAAAACAAGAATCCATTAAGATTCGGTACTCAAGAATGAAGTCGAAACACTACACTAGCGTAGAATATAGGTAGAAACCAATGTAAGGATATGACTTTATATACCTATATATTCACAAGCTTAAAAGCACTCACAAAATATGTTTAAAACCATCCCATAAACATTTTCAAACATCTAAAAGGTTTTAAACTCAAACACGAAGGATTACGGAGATTTTGAAAAACGCAGGACTGTAGCACGGGACCCCCCTACCGTCTGCACGGGACCCCCCTACCGTCTGGACGGGACCCCCCTACCGTAAGGGGTACCGTACTAAGATAGGTACCGCCAGAGAGTTTTGGCCTGAGAAGGTACCTAGCCACCGTAAGCACGAGACCCCCCTACCGTATGGACGAGACCCCCCTACCGTATGGACGGGACCCCCCTACCGTGACCGTTGGGTTACTGTTCCTGATTTGCAATTTTGAATTAAATCAACCCTAATCACCTCCCAACGGCTAATTAACATCTTCCACTATAAATACAAGCTTAATCCTTTATATTTCTTCAAGAAACAAAGCTCTAAACATCCTCCCTTTATATTCTAAGTGTGTTCATTCTTTTATTAATTATTTTCAATATTTTGGCTATTTCACGAGCCTTAAATTCCTGATTTTTATACACACACTTTGAGCTTGTGTTTCTAGTTATATACTCTCATATTCATAAGTTTGAATTGTATTTTTGAGAGAGTATACTTTCTTTCTACACCGGCTAAGTTTTGTTCTTCATTTTT